CAGTGTTGAATCTAACTGTAGGGGATGAATGGTGAGCTGCCAAATAGCTTTTAGAAAATGCTGACTCGAGCAGTAATGTGATTCTATTGACACTACTAGAAAGATCAGCATACCTTCCATGAAAATATCAGCCAAAGACTCGGTTAATGTGAGCTAACAGTCAGATTCTGCTTTGTTGTGGCTTTCAGCACAGTGCAATGTAGACCTTTCTTCAAGGATATATTTTAGGCAAAGATGTATAATTTTATGAAAGTGTGTATAATCTTGACCAGTGTGATACTTAAAAAGGATATTGAGAAACCTAGAAATGTAAATTGGTTGTAATCAATAAATCCAAAGTCATTCTTATTTTTCTGGTTTCAGGAAGTGTGTTAAAACTGTTCATTATTACTGAAACAAATAGTGAAGTTTCAATTTTCAGTAGAACATAACCAGAACAAAACACTTTTGGAGTTTCTTTTCAAGACCAAAATTCTGATTTTTATGGGGCAGCTAAGGTGATCCAGCAACTTTCCCATTAAAAAGGCAGTCCTGTGTTTCCTTGCCCAAGGCTTCTGCCATCCTCCACTAGTGATCATGGCTTCACGGTGAGTTGGTTCAGCTGCCGGATCTGACAAAGGACTGCTCTTCTGTTCTGCTGCCCCTTGGGTTAGTTTTCTGCTGGATCAGCCTGATAAGCTGACTTGCCCGGTAATGACACAATCTTTACATCCAGTATAAGGAAAATGGTGCAACAGTAATAGAAGGAAGGAAAACTGCCCATTTGTGATGGCTGCTTACTTTTAGATCAGCTAATCTGTCCTCTGCCTGCTGTGTCATGTGAAACTATACCCTACACGGTATGTCTGCTTGGTTTGGTAGGCCAGGGTATAAAGCCTCATATAAACCACTGATTCTCCCCTCTCCTTCACAGCATGTTTAAAGTGTCTTTTTAAAAATTTGCTTGCAATTTCTTTCACTATATCTTTTATAGTATTTGTTACTAGTTTTGAAAAGTGTTCTAGGGTAGAAAGAGTGAAAACTTTCTTGTGGGAAAATTACTTTATAAATTAATAGCTTCTTTTAGGATTGTTGACCTTTTTAGTGCATATGCCTGCTAAATTTCTTTTGAGTGAAAAAAAAAAAAGTGTGTTTCTTTCAGCCTTTACCTACAATCATAAAGCTACAGCATTCTTAGCTGACATTGCTATACTGCTCCACTGCTGTAACATTACATTCCACAAAATGATCTATATTTAAGGTGTTAAGAAACTCTTAACAGTTTCTACTTTCAGTCTGAAAACGTAGAAAGAAGCATGGCACTCAAGACTCAGTTTAATGGCTCACAGCTTTAGACTTGTAGGAAGAAAGAGAATTCTCCCCAGTATAGCACAGCTGATGGGATAAATTTGTTCCAGGATATGTTGCAGAATTTTAAAGAAATATATACTTCTACAGAAAATACGGCTAAAAAACAACCCCCAAAGGATATGAGTAAATAGCAGATGAGTTGGGGCTCTTTATTTTGAAGATTGTCCTTTCTGATTTTATTATTCTGATTTCCTGAAATTACTTTAATGTAAATTTATTTAAATAGGTGATTTAATAACATGCATATTATTTCAGATCATGTTTGGCAGGATGTGACACAGTGGCATGCACACAGCAAGACCTGCTTTTGGTTTCCTGAGGCTGATCTTCTACCATGAGATTGTCTGTTAGGAGAACGTCTTTTCCCAGCGTGCCTTTATCTAGGGCTGTCTGTATCAATTTTGTCACTATCTGCAGCCTAAAACATCCAATTGAAACTGGACAGAATTTGCTGCATCTTCTTGTTTTCTGGCTGGTATCCCACATAGCTCCAGTCATATTTTTGCTTCAACATTTCCAAGAAGAAATAGGCCTTTGTTTTTTGGTTAATGACCTGGTTCTTTTGTTTTGTGCGTCCATGCAGTGGACAAACCCCATCTAGTCATGATTCTGAGTAGTGCATTATGCAGATGCAGTACTGATGAGGCATCACTGGAAATTAAAAAGTACCTGCCCTACAATGAAAGTATTAGAAAGTATTTGAACATTAATGAATTACCTAAATGTTCATTCATCACTTACGTGAACAAAACACTCCACTCACACTGTCTGTTGTTGAAATGGTTATTTCACTGCTGGTGTGCTGTTGGAAAGACCATTGGTTCTCTATACACTGTCTAGTACTCTCAACTGTTTTATTTCCTGGGGGCTTTTTTTCTTCTTCTTACCTGCATAAAATTTGTAAACTTTTCTTTTTAAAAAGCATTGTGCTTAGGGAAAATAGTAAAATAAATAAATGTTCCTGGCTTTATGGCAAAAACAATTGTGACCCTATTAGCTAGCAGTTCTTACAGATCAACCATAGCCTTGGCTTTGCGAGGTAATTGGTTAACACGAATGTTAGAGTGTGTGGAAAATCTAGTTGAACCAAACTGAGACAGAAAGTAGTCTTCACAGCAGGTGTGGGGTTGATTTCCAGATACAGGAGGGAATATTCCTTTACATTCCATTTGATTTTCAAGCTGTATTTCTGCTTTGGCAGTAGAAATTATTACTTACCTGTACTAATAGATTTAAAAAATACTTCTTTCATTTTCCCTTGGGAAGATGCAACCAGCCACATGATGAAAAACTCAAAATGTAGGTGTTCTGTCACTAGAAAACCCTTGAAAATATGTATGAGATTGCAGATAAAGGGGGGAACAGGCGGCATATTTTAGGAGTGCTAGAGCAGGAACAGATGCATGCTGTCAAGAAACAAGGAAACGCAGTCAGTCACTCCTTATACAGCTGTGATGTGTCTCCACCTGAATTATGAGGAAAGATTTGAAAGCTAAATATGCTTACCAAGTTAAGTAAGTTGAACAGGGGAAGTCTAGTCTGCATACTTTTGAAGCATGACTGTATGTAATTGTATCAAAGTAAATAATCATATCACATCAAAGCAGAATGAATTGAGGAAGGGAAAAATATTAAATTCAGTACCCAGAAAAAAATGGCTACACTGTGAAACTTCTTGGAATTCATTCCATAAACAAATAAACATTTGAGTATAGTCATGTGCTCTAATGGATCCTTATTAATGTGGCCATAAATGAAGTTACAATCACATGCGTGTTTGCAGGACGGAGTAGTTTCCCAAGGAAAACATTGAAAAGGGGATATATATGAAAGGGACTTCTTACACTAGGCTTAAAAAAAATATTTAAAATGTACTATAGGTAATAATGCTGGATTAGGAAAAGACATAGTCTGAATAGCTAATGGATTTCTTAAAGACTGCACCTCTGTGGTTTATTTGGGAAAATTCAGTTCAATGAACCGTAAGGAATTAATCAGTTTTATGTGAATTTCTTCTTTTTTTTTTCCCCACTTTCACCAAGGGTGGTTGAAATGTGGTCATATTTTAGGCAGATTTTAAGCAAAATATTTTGTTTCTAATTTAAACTGTCTTCCTTTAGCTGTAATTCTTTAATTAATCTCATTATGGAGCTCAGCAATTTTAAGTTTAAGTGGTAACCTTCCCATATTCTATGGTTTTACACTTTTAATATATCTGTTATATAACATATATATATACACATATATGTTAACATCTGACATGTTGAAGTTATTTTGTCAAATTATTTTGTTTCAAACTGAGCCACAAACAGGTTTAAATTGGAAGGCTACTTGCTGTCACTGCAATTTAAAAGGGTTTGACTGCATATTTTAAAAAGAAACTTTTTTTGAACATTACAGGTATTTGGTTGTTTCTTTCTGAAAACAAAAGTGCTGCAGTCAAAATGGTTTAAAATGGGTTAATATATGTGATTGCTTTTGATTTAAAAGCAAATGCATAAGGTTTCAGTTACACAAAAGACCTTAATTTTTTTTTTTTTTTTAAGAAAATCTAAGAACAAAGCAGTGCCGATAGCTGAGTACATGGAGGTTTTCATCAAGGCTAATTCAAGATGCTTGAGATGTTTTTGAAAGTTTAATCTTGGCACTAACAGCTGAGAATGTAGTGATAAAAGTCATAAGACTCATGATGCAGATTTCTCTTCATTGGTCCACACCCTGGTCTCGGACATCTTTGAAAAGTTATAAAGATTACAGTAACATTTCATTTCTGAAACTATGTTGGGAATGTTTGAAAAAACCCTGAAAGATGATCATTTAGATAAGCCACGGAATACATGATCTTCTGAACTGTGCTTACACAGGCACAGCAGTGTATCTGCTAGCACAAGTCTGAACTAATCCTTCCGTACCAAAGCTGTATTTTTACCCATCACTCTGCAGTTGTTAATAATGATTTGTAATGGAAAAAAGAAAACTGCAATTTGGTGATTTTTCTGTGATTATATAAACATAAAATTTTTTGTTTGTTTTTCTGTTTGAGAGGAGAAATTCTTCATGGGTTTTGCAGTCTTTTTCTTTTTTCCTCTTTTAATCTTTTCAAGGTACTAGTGAAAAAATGGGATCATTTTTTCTGAAATTTCTGTTTGTGGTTTTTATTCATCATTTAGATATGCAAAACCAAAATTTCTATCTATAACTACGAGACACATTAAAAACCTGGAGAAAAGGCTGTCAGCAGTTAAAAAGTAAAACCTCCAAATAGTCCTGCAGCAAACTGGACTTTCAACTCTTTTGGTTAAAAAAAAAGAGGGAGAGGAACACAGGGAAAGAAAGATAACAAACTGTTAGTGGAGTCATAAAATACAATTCAGAGATTAGCAAAGAACTGGGTGACAGACTGCAGATCATACAAGCTACTTGCCCCTGACTTCCCTTTAAACCCAGACTGCAATACTAGTCACTTGGACATCTTTTTTGATGTAAATGTCTTTGATTTTTACCTGATCATTTGTTTCAGTCTGTGTAAGAGTTTAAATCTGGTGACTTTACAGAACCTATCATATTTTGCAAGTAGGAAACATTTCAGAAATAACTAATAGGTATAAATGCAGTTTTCACAGAACTGCCCAGCAAATTTGGCATTCCAGTTTTCTGCCTATGTTGGCTTCTGGGCAAGCAAATGCTTTTTCCTGGGGACCTGCCACTCTGGAATGATTTCTCTCCATTTCTGGTCAGTTCGTTTAATTTTCATCATTCTATTTTGCCTATTTACATGGAAAAAACCTGCATTAATCAATGCACTGAAGATGTGCTAGTTGCCTTCATTCTGGATTTTCCTCTCAGTCCATGGTCTTCTTCCCTAAACAGCCGTGTTTCTGTGGTGGTCTGTTCATGAGTTTCATATCACTGAATGATTTGGAGGACCCTTGGATAATCAGTAACAACACAGTCTCCAGTATATCTAATTCTGTGTAGTTTATTCTCTCCCTAAACTCAGGTGTTCATGTCAGTTGTTCATCTAATCTAATGCTTGTATCTTCCAATATTTATTTCCTCTTTATGCACCCTGAATTCTAAAAATGCCATCCAGATGTATTTAAATGAATTATTAATCTTTCTGTCAAAATATTAAACGAATTCTGCTAGAAATTTTTCAGTCCTTTTTTCCCATTACTGGATGTTGGTGTTTCGGAGTCTCCTGTGTGTCAGCTCCTGCCTCCCTAATGTGATCATAAGTGAATTAAAAAATGCCCTAAAATTGTTTGTTCTCTAAAGTCATGGAGGCATTTTACAAACGCTGTTACTGATTTGGAGAATTAGGTTTGTCCTGTCACTTTTATATATATCCCTTTTGTAGAAGCCTCTTCCAATGAGAGATCCTCTTGACAGTTCCATTTCAGATTCATGACTAGCGGGAATATCTATGGGCATAATTTTTTTTTTTGTTTGTTTGTTTAATGTATCTTTTTTCAATACATGATTTTCCTCTCATTAGTGACTGAAGATTTCCAGAAATGAAAGGTTTCACTCATAACTGCGTACATGCTGACTTCCAATAGTAAGAGGCTAAAATTATACACACTTTATAAAGAACTGTCTCTTTAAAAGTCAGGTCTTATTTCAGAAAGATTGCTGGTGGCTCCAATTTCGTGTTCAGGCTTCTTTGGCATTTCATTGGGAGGCTAGGGTGAAACTCCTTTCTATATATATATTTCACTCTAAGCCCCTGCTAATAAGTTATTCCAATAGATTTTCTTTAATGGATTTTCATCTTCTTACAGTCTGAGTCTATGGTATTTTTCATTACTGTTTTCAACTCTTTAAATTACTAAATGTAATTCTCATAGTTCTTATGATTTAAACAAAATAAAGAGTCTGGGTTTATAAACCTTTCATAAGCTACTGTCACAAACCAGTTGTGTTATACAGTCGTGCATAAAGTAGGTCATAGTTTGGTCGCTGTTATGCTGAAACAACCAAGTCTCAAACCAGAACGTCAGTCCTGATTCTGTATTAGTGCATTAAGATGACGGGAAAATTGTGTCTGTTATCCAACATAGATGGTAAAGATGTTTGAACTTAATGCATATATAAATAGACAAAGGCCAATCCTCAGATGTCTAATAGGAACTGTGCAGATTTTTAAGCACTCTGCTCCTGGGAGCTAACCAAAAGAGTAAACCCAAACATATTCAAAGCCAGTGCTGTGCTTCCTTTAGCTATCATCTGTGCCTCAGCACTGTAACACATACATGATAAACTCTGTCAAATGAGCTGCATTTCCAAGGAACGTGGCAGACAAGCTAATAGATAACTTTATTATAGTAGGAGTAACAAGTCAAAAATAACAGTTAACAGTTGTGCTAACCTCTTCAGAGCAACCCCCACCTCACCTCTAAGGAAATTAATCATAGTCTTTCCTACCGCTTATTCTTGTAGTGATGGTTATAGTGTCCTATGATTTAGAACATGCATGTGACTAAAGTGTAGTTTAATCAGTTTGGGTCTGTATTAAAAAATGAGAGTAATGAGGCTGAAACCTTGTGCTAACAAATTCAGCTGTCCTGACAGTAGAAACCCTATGACCTAAATAGATAGAAATCATAACATTGGAAATAAGTTAAATGAGATTATTCTTTTTAACTTACATTGTCATAAGGGCTTCAGTTGCTCTGTATTAGGAATTAAAACAGGAGCCATTGTTTTAAAACTGTATGAAATGCTGTGATCATGCTGCATGATCATGATTCTGTTACTTCTATTTAAATCTTATGTTGCACCTCCTTAAATTAGTGATTATGCATTCTTTGTAGATAATTTTCACACATTCTGTTACACAAAAGTCTTGGGAGTCAAGGTGTTTGTAATTTTCATGGGAGCTGAATCCAGCCTTCTGTGAGAATGGTTTTCTTGGCACTGCCCTGAGACTGGCAGCAGTGCACAGTTGCCATCGTCACTGCGTAACTGGCATCCTTGGGCAGTTTGTTCTGCCCGGTTATGTCCATACGCCTTTCCCCAGCATGCAGGAAATCTCTGTAAAGAAAAAGAGATGGTCTCCACTGCAGTAGAATCACAGTTCTGCAATGGTAGGAATCTGCCAGCATAACTGCACACAGTGACTAGGGACGTAGAGGGATAAAATGGGAACTGTGATATTAAAGCTCAAGTTGTTTTTTTTAAATGGAACTGGAAATAGAAATAAGTCTTTCTCTTGCTCTGTTAAAAGGAATTACAGGACTCCTAAGACTGAAGTAATTAAAAATCAGCATCTGAATGACAGGATTGTAAGCTAGTTGTTCATACTGACATTTACACTATTCATTGCTATTAGGTATGTGTTGTCTGAAAGAAATAGGTTAGATTATCAGCTAGTACAAGTTGTCCTAAACTTCACTGGAGTTATGCTATATACAAACCAAACATCTTCCTTAGGCATTTCAAAATATTTTAAGCAAGTTATTTCAATTTGAGGTGTCAGCCTGAAAAATACATTTTTCCAATGGAAATTTCTAGTGAAAAGACTTAGAGCCAGGCAGCTTCTTTCCCATCTTTCCAGTTTATCTGAATCCTGAGAACATCCTGCTTTTCTATCTGCATAGGAAGCAAGTATGTGTCGAAAACTATTTAAATAACTGCCTGAAATCCAGATTTGTGCTGACAACCTGTGCTTCCTGGTTAGTGTGATGTGATTTGAAATTGTTATGCTTAAGTAACACAGGTTATGGTAAGACATGGACGGTCCTGACTAAAAGCACTGCTAGCAGCTACCTTAATACCTGCCCATTTCAATGCGAAACGGTGTGTGTGAGCCCTGGGGTGTTTGAACTTGTTGAAATTTTTATGAAATATTTTCAAAGGCCGGCCTCATCACATCAAGGAATATTAGATAAAATGCAATAATTAATATTTTGTATATGGGACATTCATAGTCACATGGGATATTTAATCCACTCTGACTTGTTTCCCTTGCCAGCTGTGCAAACAAAGGCCCTAAAATCCACAAGGGTCTTGTACCAGCAAGGCACTGGGCACATATTGCCTTGAACATTGCAGAACAGAGTGCATATCCTGCCACTGCAGTCATGTTTTTGGTTTCTAAGATATTCTCTATATTCCTCATCATCATCCATCACTTCTCCTGTATGATGTTTTCTATACACTGAGAGCTTCCAGGTTGGTAGCACACTGAGCACCTTAAATTAGCACATGGGCCTGTTGCAGCCTGGTATTCCGCGTACATATCAAGAGGATTTTGTTGGTGTTTTTCAGTTGCATGCATTGGAAGGGCAACTAAGCTCTCCTGAAACTGCATGTACAAAAGGGGATTTTTTGGGGCTTATTTGGTCTCCTTTTCTTGTGGCACGACTTTTATATATAAATCTCTCAACAAACTTGATTGATGTGAAAGGTGTACAGTACAGCTGCATCTTCTAAAGTATAGGGAGTAGAAAAAACAGATTTTTATCTAAGTTAAAAGGCAGTTTGTAAAATATTAAAATATTAAGAACAGAATATGACAGCTGAAATCACAGTAGTAGAGGAACCAGACTGTTGTATCAGCAGAAGAAAAACATTAGGTTAATCTGTATTACAGCATTCTGAAAGAATACAGAGCTTTGAAAGCAGCTTTCACTAGGGGGTGGGACATTTTACTTTTATGTAGAGCTTTTGTTCATTTAGAATTGTTTACTCCAGCAAGCAACCCTGTGCTCTTTGTTTGACTGATTTTTCCCATTTGGCAGACCCTTTGCAATCACATGGATAACATTCCTCTTTCCACTGAGACATAGAAAAACTATTCTTTATTGACCTTGCTTGTTGTCCTAAATGACAAAAATATATTTATATACTAGGTGAACTGTATGACTTAATGACTGACTTTTAATTGAAAATTCTTCAAAGCAAAAACCTCAAAGATCTGCTTTCATTTTTTTTCAACAATCCAGTAACTTCTTTCTAGCAAACAACTGCCCTCAGCTACACATGCACAACTCCCACAGATGGCACCGAGAACTCTGTACGAGTGCTGAAGCTGTGTCAAAACAAAAAAATGCCATGCATAGAAGAAATGGGTCTTTTAATTTGGGTGGGGGATCTTTATTTATTTATTTATTGAACAACAGAGTATTTGCTGTGGAAGTTTGGATGTTTACTTGTTTGTTTGTGTAGATGTTTTGGGAAGTTAGGTATTTAATGGTCTATTTTGTATGGTTGCAGTGGGAAGCAAATTGGAAGACTTGGAAGAACCCACACGAGATCATTCAACATCTCAATTTTAGTTTTCTCACCAACATCACAAAATACAGAGCTCATGGACTAAACTTTGTGGTACTGATTTAGAAACACTCTTAGCATTACAGTTTTACATGTGATGTGTTGTAAATCAAAGGGAGATTATGTAAGGACCCAGCATGCCAAGACAAAATTCAGTCCTAGTCTAAGTGAGCACAGTTCTGTTAAAACAGGTGCAATTGTGCACATTTAGCCAAAATTTTTGAGTTGCTATTTATCTTGTGTTCCTGAACGCTCACTTGCAAGCTTCTCCAACGGGGACAAAACTCTGGATGAAATAAGTGGGGTTAAACCCACATGTATGCATGTGTTAAAACTAAATCCAGCTAGTTTAAACTGGAGTAGCTTTACTGACTTCTGCAGAGCTGTGACAATTTACACAAATCCAAGCTCTGTTCATAACAGTCTAATCTTCAGAAAGGCTGTGCATCTGCAATTCCAACTGAAGGCAATGAGAGCTAGGGTTGCTCTGCATTTCTGCAGGGGAAAAAAGTCAAAGGCTCTTTTGTTACCACTTAGCACATGTGCTGAGAGAGTGTAAAATTAAGATCACAGTGATAGCATTTTCAGCTATCTTGTGTATGTGTACTTAAATGAGGTGCAAGCAGAATAAAAATCAGATGGGGCCCCTTGCTAAGGAGCCCTCATTTTTTTACTGTCTTGTCAACCATAGTTCTATTTATACCTTTATAATTTCACAATTAGAGAAGATATTTGCAGTTCTGCTATTAATTCCATACAAGTAAAACAAAGGTCTAGTTGTTTTGAATGAAACCATGATAATACAGACACCCTCCAACTCTTGCCATGGTTCAACATGGATTTCTTCCATCACTTACGCAGACTTTGTCTTTGCTACTCTATCAGTACCCACTCCTCATTTTTTTCCTGGTTGGTGATGCTTGTTGTTGAACCACATCAGGAAAAAAATCAAACCATTTGAAGAAAAACCTCTCAACCTGCATTCTTCAACCGCAGCTCTATGACCCTATCCCCTCCTTTTCATAAGCCCTAGCACTTGAGCCAGAACAGGAAACTGCTGAGCCAAATGGAAAAAAAAGTAGCACATGCAGTTTTAAGAATTTGGCTGCTCAGTTCTTTGACTGGCTCACCGTGGGTTCGATTGGTGTCAGAGGTATGGGTAAATGGTCACATCCCCACAAAGGTGGAGGAACATGCCCCTAGTCGCTAGGAGCTGGCTTCCTTTAGTTTAACTTGTCTTATAGTGCAGAATTGCACCCACAGTATCACCACAGGACAACGTTGAATGTACCACCACTAGTTTACTGTAATGGAAAAAGTTTAGGTGGATTTCAACACCAAGTTAACACCAACATTGTAAGTAAATAGTAAAGCCTTTATTCTTGTTAAGAACAGCATTTTGAAAATAAAACATTTGCCCATGCTTTACAACCTTTGTAGTTTTGTATACTTATGTACAGTCATCATGGTACACATTGATTGTCTTGAAAATCCTTTAAAGATGTACTTAGTAAGATACCAGTATGCAACAATCAGCGGAAAAAAGGGTACGTTATAAAACACACATTAATACATTTAATAAATATATATTATCTATCAAAAACGAGCTTTAGCTCTCATCAATTAATAAAAAGCACCTGCTTTGTAATCCTGTAAATTGGTAGAAGAGTCCAATTGTTTTATTATAAAAGCTACAATGCTCCCTTTTGCATGGCCTTTGGTTAGACCCAAGGCATCAAGCTTAAACAAAGCCAATCAAGATGCCTGTGTTTAGACTAAAACCAGAAACATCTAGTTCTACAGTATTTCATGTACCTTTTTTATAGAAACAACTGTATGTATTGAGAGTGTTCTTCTGAAGATGCTATATATTATCTGGCAAGTGTCAAACACCCACAACTCCTCTGAAAGCAAGGAGAGGATCTGTAAAGAATGGCTTTGAACTTTTTTCCAGCCATTGATCAAAAGCCAGTTGTTATAAATCTTGTGGTAATAGTTTTTTCAGATACTTCACAATTTCATTTTTCTGCAAGGAAACACCATGAGCACATAACCATCAAGAGACAACATAGTAGCTTTTATAGCATAAAAGCTAATTATAATTAACTGAACTGCGAAAGGCTTGTGCTTACTTACTTATGTTGTTCACAGATGCTCTACATTCTAGGTAACATCCATAAAAGGCAAAAGTAAACAATTTGTTTACTGTAACAAAAATATAAGTTAACATAAAGGTGCCTTTCTTCAATTACAGTTTTATTTGGGGAATTTTACATCACAGACTAATGACTTAAAAAAAAAAGTTGCTTATTACTAATTGTATAAAGTTGGAAAATAAAGACCCTCCTAATCTATTGCCACACCTTCACCACCACAAATTAAACTCAATCCTGCTAATTTTTAATTTTGTGAATAGTCCACATGACTAACCCATTGAGACTAGTCACATGAGTAGCAGTTTTTAGGATCTGGCCATATCTTTGCATAAGGCCTCAAATTCCAAACAACATCATCAGGAGCAGGATTGGGAACTCTATTTATCAATTCAGTCACATCTAGAAAAAGAAAAAAACATTTCTTAAGGTAACTATATCTTGTACAGATTTTGTCCAAAGTCTGTAAAATGTGTATTATAATTCATAAATCTTGGCTGTAGCATGATAAGCTTTTTAAAAGAAAGTTGTCCTACCATTTATGCCATGGTCATCTTATATGTTTTTACAATAGAATTTTATGAGGGTTTTTTTTTTAAATTGGTTTTTAAAAGCAAAATTCTGCAGGCAAGTGATGGTAATAGGGTTTTTATTGTTCCAAATGATGCATCTTCTGGGTAACTATTGTTATTTTAAATACTATCTTATTTGATCAAAGCTTTGCTTAAAACAAACAAAATTTATTTCTAAGTTGCTGGATAGCATGCAATATCCACCCCTACCCTACCTGGTTACTAAGGCTGTCTAGTTAGTTACAAAATAAAATAAGCAATCCCTAAAACAAGCACATGCTTCCTTTGCCTCAAGGAGGGAAGGGCAGGGGGGAGCTAACATACTCCTTTACTCCATGCATGATAGAAAAACTTTGCTTCTGGAAGAGAAGGGCTTTGAAATAAAACCCCATAAGATGATCATGGCAAGAATGGCAATATATATTTTTTCTGTATATATATACACATATATCTGTGTGCAACACTTAGGGTCTGGTCTTGCAGCCTCTGCACCTGTATGTAGACCTACTGGTGTTGCTGGAACTACTCATGGGAGTACAAGTCTGCAGGACTAGGTTCCTAATTCAGTAGAAATGGAGGTAAATGAAGAATCAGGAAGACTCTTGAAAAATAAAAAGCTTGTCTTTCTTTTGCAGTATACAGCAAGTAACTTCCTTCTGTGAAGCTACTAAGCTATTAGGTTATTTGTACATTATAGTTTTTTTAGTTTGAAAATATATATTTTTATTACAGCATATGCAAAGTTTAATTGTTATATGTTTCCTATGCCCTCAATTAAAAACGATTAGCTTTTAGTATTGAGGAAAGCTAAGATTAACATTGGCCAAACAGTGAGGATACAATGATGTTTTCAATGTCCGATATGTATTAAATGTTAAATAAAGGAATGATTGCTTAAACATAATGAAAAAACATGGCACAAACAATGGGCAATGGGAACCTTTTAAATAACCTGGAGAAAACAAAGATAAAAAGCTTTGAGAGTCTGCCTTGTATCAACTCAAAAAGGGGAGGGGAGGGGGAGGAGTGGGGAAGAAATCACCTTAAAAAAAACCAAAAACAACAACAAACCACCTCCAGCATGGAGATTCTACTAGCTAGGCACTGAAATGCACAACCACATTTAAATGCACAAACAACTGCAGTCAAGGGGACTACTCACATGAACAGGGATTAGAAAGGGAGGTCTTGACCCTATCTGCTGCCCAGTTTCTCCTCAAAGGTGGTCAGGACTTCTCAGCTGCCACCGTTTTCCTGCTTGACAAGATCAGTCCAACAGAACAGGCTGGCTCAGGCATTACAGTGGGTTGCCTTTAATCCACTACCACAACGAACTCTTTCTGGCAAACTCGAGTCACGTTCTCTCCCAAGCTAAGTCTTTGCAGAAGTATATCCCTCCAAAGTCTCACTTAATGGCTTCGTCCATTGGAGACGTGAGAGCGCGGGGCTCTGCTCGCACTCAGGACTGAGGCTGGAATAACAGGGACTGGATCCCACGGGGCTGAGGAGAGCTGCCTCTGTGCTGGACCTACGCTTTTTCTCTCTGCCTCAAGAAGCTCCATAACTCGCATGAAACATGCATTGACCTTTCATCCCTCCAAAACTGCATTTCCTACACCAGCTTTTTAAAGAGAAGGAGTACCAGTCTACAGCGTAATGCTAATTTAGTTGCCACAGAGTGACAATGCTTGACTACACATGATGCTACATGACTGTACAGTACAGCTAGATAATGAAGCAAACAAGGTACTTCTTATGACATTTGAAATGAAGGGAAAAGGAGCAAAATGGAAAGAAATCCTGCATGTTTTCACACTGTAGTGGCAATCTCTTGTGGCAACATGAATTAAGTTTAGGCGAGAGGAGGGTATTTTGCAAGCAACTGGCAACCAACAAAAACAGGCTTGCCTTGCACACTAGTTACAGACGAGAGAATATCTTACATTTCAGAACGCAATATCCCCCTCTTCCAATTTAAGGTGTGCCTACTTCTATTTTAAATCAGATTCAGCTTCAGTTTTACAATTTTGTTTTTGCAGTTATCAGTTCAGTGGTGTTCACATTTAGACAAAATCCTCTGTAGGATTTCAAAAGCTCCTGGATGTTTTGTTGCTTTGTTCTGGTACTGTTATGGATTCCTCCCTCAAAGACACACTGCCAGGGAACAACATCTGCAACAAGGATTCTCATTCTCTACAGCCTACAGCCTTTCACCAGAGGTGTCGTCCAGTGTAACTTGGCGGAGCAGTTGGTATCTGGAAATAAGGATAATAAACCCATAACTGAGAGATCTAGTCTGTTCAAAAATCAGTGTTATCATACTACAGGTACATGACAGCTTTCCAGACAGTAGTTCCAGAGTGAAGTGACAGAAGGAAAGTCATCTTCCATCCATGCAGTACATTTAGCTCTCTGTAAAAACCATGACTATATATACACATTAATCTCTCATTTTACTGTCTGCTGTTCTCCATTAAGCTTTGTATCCACCTCAAACCAAAGCAAACTAAACAAAAAAAAACCCAAACCCCTCAAAACAAATCCTCTAGCTTCTCATCCTTAAACTGCCTTTTCTCTGAGCTGCATATTCTGGTATCAGAAAACATATGCATAGATGAATCCAAACATCAGAAGGATGCTATTCATTACTGACAGCAAAGCACAAGCCTTTTCGTTTTATTCAAGTTGTATGTTTCCCACTGTCATATTCACACAGGAGAATCCTTGCATCTAGTCCCTCTTCTTCACTAAAATTGACCAAAACTTTACTTATTTAAAAACAAAGAGACCTGCAACCAGTTCATGTTATTTAGTTTAAAATGTAGTGGTTGAGTTATGGACTCAGCTCATGATTAAAAATAAAGAAAACCCAACTCACATGAGTAAAAACTGGCTCATGGGTAGATTTTTAAGAAGCATGTAGGTATGCATGAAAATTATGGGGATGAAAATTCTTCCTTTTCAACAGTATACCTGGTATATGAGATGTCTTCAAGTGCACATTACACAGCATGTGAAAAACATTTAGAAGGTCTGTTTGGCTTCAGATCACCAAGACATTCTTAGAACAACCAGGCTACAGAAAAACGGATCTATCAAAGAATGGCATGCCAAACTATTGTCTAAGAAAGAAAAGTCAGTGCTATTAACATTAAAATATTCTGTATTCCTCTTTTATGAATCCCTTTCCCAGAGATGTACACATCTGTAACTTAGAATTACATACATTTTACAAGAAAATCAGAGGTATGTGAGAGACCACTATCTGCAACAATGATTCTTATTTAAAGTAATGTACTGGCCTGTAAAGATTTGTTTGACTTGCATCATCTTGAAAAAAAATCAGGTTAGAAATTATGTCACTTAATAGTTATGTTAAATACCTTAACACAGATTTCATTTGAAAGGGCCACTGAATATGCAGTTTCACCAAAGAACTTGGTTCACTCAAGCTACACTTCAGAATGTGATCGGCCAAGTAAAGAAATGCAAAATACTTGGTAATTACATCTTTTCTGGAGGGAAGGGAAGCATTACGTGCATACTTGCTGCCCAAGTTTTCATTTACAGCTTTCCCTCCTGCTGTGAAGAAGCTAAAAGCAGGTTTTTCAATTAGTAGTGGTTCTATATATCAGTGTATAGCAAAGATTTCTTAAATCATCACATTTTGATACTTACAGTCCCACCATTTAGCACAACTGCCATCTCAGTTGGCTGATAAACATTGCTTCTAAAAGGAGCACTAGGTCGGCTTCCCAAACTGCCGTTTCGAAATCCTGCCGTTCTTAGCGCTGTGTTTGGAAAAGAGAGATTGTTCTTAGGAACACAATTAATGCTGTGCATCTCCTTTGAAATCATAGAAGTATCTTGCTTCCAGTTCAGTTATTGAGAACTTTGCCACTGATTTTAACTTTCAATGCTGCCATACAAGTTTTCACACTGTTTTTGAACAGCAGTTTTTCTTATGTAGTTGGGGATGGATCTCAGAAGAATCGGTTTTACATAAAATTAACTCTTTGCTGTGGAATGGGAAAAAAAATATTGGAACCAAATTTCTGAAGTTTGCTTAGTCTCATTTCAATAGGACCTAAATAGGACCAAACCTCTGACATATCTTGCCCAGTGTATTTTGCAAACTGCTTACTATATTGGTCTGGATACTGTGGGGTTAAGTAAAATGATGTTACATCTTGCTTTCTATCAAATTCAGAGGACAGTGATCCAAAACATTGCTCGAGCCAGTAAGCATGCTCACAACACCCCTGAGCATTACTTCAGCATGACTAGTGTATAAGGATTTTCCAGATGTTTCAGATTATATTTACGCTGAGAAACTAGAAATACGAAGTAAATATTGCTTTCAAATAGCTTAAACATGTCAAATGACTGAAGCAAAAGAGAAGATACTGATTGTACTTCTGAATGTTTATACCAGAAATACATCAGTCTCTCCATTAAATTTAGCACAATTTTGGATTCAAGATGTATATTCTGAATGAGAGATATGCACAGTTAGGGATATGCTCTTTTTTCTCTAAACCAGTCTGGGGATTGGCACATACAAACTCTCTTTTTCCTTTGGGGGTAAATAACAGCTTCTCTGAATTCAGATGTGGCCAGAGAACAGAGCTCATTTATCCACGGGACTCGCGTGGTTACAATGGGCAATACTCATCTGTGAGCTCCTAGATAGAAACATGCCTAGTTCAGGCACCTGGGGCGAGAATTTATCTTAGATTTAATTCAAATTACAGTCTACACTCTGGCTGAAATCATGACTGGGCTGAAGTTTACAGGAATTTCATCATAGACTTTAATGAAGTCAGGATTTAATATAGTTGAGTTTCTCTGTGTGGAACAAGATTTAAATGGATCCTATTGCCATATGCCATCCTCTGTCCACTGCTACTCTTCTCTTTGGGAGCTATGCACAGAGATGAAGAACAGTATTGATTTAGCACAGAAATTCAGAAATCCAGCCCTGCAAATGCTCAGTTGTTGACTTCAGATACACACAGATGTCACTTGCTCTGTATTTTAAAATTAGATATTTTTGCAGAACACTAGGAGAACAAAAGATGAAAATTCCAATATTTAGAAAATAATTCTAAACTAGAATTATGTATTTTTTAATTTATATTTAACCATCTGAGGGTCAGTAGTTGTCTTTCTTTGTAGGTTGGCTTCAAACACAAATGATTGTGCTGGTATTTGCTAGTACACATGAAGAAAAATATATAATGGGTACTGTCATTAAAATATTTACAGATTTACACAAAATATTGACACAAAATTTCTATGGTCATTTCAAAGTTATCTTAAAGAACCAGTAAATTCAGTTTTATATTGCTAAATTCTCCTTTCCTAAGTCTAAATTTCTTTTAATATGAAAATCAAAGACAAAGCTTGTGGACAAAATACTAATTTTGGAATTTTTTTATCATACCTCTCTAGCATTTCTCCTTGTACTTTTTCCATTTCTATTAAACACATCTACTTGCATAGAGTATGTATAGGATAAAAAAATAGCGCCAAGATTTGAGCAAATGTCTTGTCAAAGTCTCCTTTTAATATGTTTAAAATGTTAACTTTGCTTTTAGGCATTGGCTCTGAGGGTGACTTCTGTTACTAAAAGTTATTAAATGAAATTCAGTGAGTACCAGAGCTGCTTAGGCATGGGTTTCCTGACAGCTGTAGCATTCTATATTTTGCATTCAGATTTTTCACATATAAAGCAAATTCACTTTGCCTTACAGTGGTTGTCCTACTAGTGTGCATTGCACTTCCAGAGAGCACTGAGAACTCATTCAAGTTGCCTTTTTCCAGCGTTACTAAATACTTTACTAACATTTTTACAAGACACAAGGTATGAAAATAACTCTTCCAAAGAGATAAACTTATCTATCATATGAATATTAAAACCCAAGGTTCGTATGTTGCTTAAATGATGTTTAAATATCTGACTTTAAATTTATTTTATGAATGCTTAATGATACTCCTGGAATAGAACAGCTCTTGTTATGTGTAACTTGGAGCTACGTTTTGCTGAGAGAGAGAAACTTGGGAGAACGGATGCTTGTTTGAACCTATAGTTAAAAGGTAGTTCAGACTTTTAAAATGCTGCTTAAAATATTAAAAAGGCAAAATTACTAAATTACGTTGTACAAGTATTAATGGAAATAACAAGAATTAATGGAAAGTATGTTTATCCAAGCACGTTTTCTATTTAAACCTAACTACTTACTAAAACAAATATTAGTCAGGGTTTTTTGTTATTGTGTCATCCAAAATTTTACAACCAGTAGTTCTTACATTTTTAAACATCATCATTAAGTATAATTGAAGAAAGTACCCTTCCTTTAATTTCTGAACTCTTAATGATGAATTCTTGAATTAAGGTTAATTAAATGAATAAAAGAACATTCTCTGCATACCTGCAGAGAGCCAATTGCTAATAGATTCCAGGTGCTTAGCCACTGACAACCATCAGCACAGTGATCTGACTTAAATTAACACTTCAGCAGCCATAATATGTGACTTGAATATTATGACCTATATTTACTTTAAGTCTCTGCCATACTGGCAAGTTTTGTCTCCAAATGCTGTTGTCATAAGTCTTTACTTAAAAAAGACCTCTGCAAAGGAATAATGAATCTGTTTTGATTTATTAAAAATTATGTATCCTTCTCCCACAAGCTATAGGAATAGGAATGACACACATTTATTACAATAAATATTAATAAGGGCATCAGATAAGGAAATCTATTTTGTATTGAACTGCATAAGATTCAGACAGATTAAAACAGAACAGAAACTGCACTATAATAAGACACTGACTTTATGGCGATCATACGTCTATCCATTTCACTAAACAACTTAATCACTGAATGATTAGATCAAAAGGAGCTTCCAGTTCCTTTTTTAAAATGTATGCGTGAATGAGAATAATACAGAGTGAAAGATCTACTTTAGTTCTTAGATCTGCTTTAGTCAGAAATAGCTCGACTAAAGCCACTGCAGTTACCTTACTATGAAATTAAATTAATGGGAGATAGACAGAGGGGAAGAAAAAAAAATAAAAGAAAAAAGAGTGCTCTTACAGTCCGTAGTGAAGCTGCCTCTGCAGCTCTGGAACGTTAGTAATAAACAATCATGCTTTTATCCATGTGATTTTGTTTGTTTTACCACTGTGCTTGGATATACTCACAGGATCTTAACTCCTTTGTGTTTGAAGCTTCTGTACTACGAGACCTTTAAAGCTCCTGCTAACACATTTAGAGGGAAAATGCCTTCCTGACTCAACATTGTGCCAAACAAGAGTGCCATTTTCCTCCATATCTGGTCTATATCCAGAGGAAAAAAATCAAACCCAGAGGAAATCAAGGATACATAAAGATGAATAGGAAGGTGAAGTGCCTGGACAACATGCCCCAAGCCTCCTTTTGGGGGCTGCCAAAGCAAACTGGCAACTATTGGCTGGGATAGCAAAGTCCTCAAGTAGAGTGAATAAAAAGCAGTTGGACTAGTAACAAAATCCTTTATCCACCTGTGGGACAGCACCAGACTGCAACCTGCATTAAAGAATTCCATTGGGATCGTGCTTCCCACCGCAGGTTAGATAAGCATCCCTGTGTATCTTCTGATACAGGTTAAATGTTCCCACAATGGTTTGGATCTCTTAATCAGTTGTTGCTTGCCCTTTCAGTAATCACTCAAAACCATTTTCACTGCAAATTTTAATGATGTGTCATCACACATTGTTCTCTGCCACCCAACAGCTATGACAAGGAAAGCAGCCATTACCTTGGAACCTCTTATCTAGGCATACTCTGTTCAAATGTTAAAGCCTTCAGAACAAAGACTGTCTTTGAACTTGTCTATATGCCACTTTGCATTTTCTTCCCTCGCAGTGTCACAAAGTAGCACTAAATCCCTTTTCAATGGAAACGGAATTAATAATAATTATTTTGTTGCTCAAGAGGCTGAGTGCTTTGTAACATAAAGCATGCTCTTGATTTTTTCCTGCATTTTTGCAAAATATTTCATATTAAATGTTGTTAACTTATAATGACAAAAAATGTCCTTTAAACTATTTTAAAACAGAGCTCATTTTCCCCCACAGTTAATTGTTTCAGTTTTCATTGTCAGCTTTGCATTTGAAATTGTTTGTTTTTTCAATGAACACACAAAATTCAAAAGAAAAACCAAACACATTTTCTGTATTGCATTTTTTAAATGTTTTTCCCCCACTAAGTGGTATCTTAATGAAAATTTTTAAAAGGAACAACATATAGTGTGCAAAATACAGCATTCGTAATGACCCTTGTTTTGAACATCCCAAAAAATGCCTCATACAGATGATTTTCTTTGCTACTACAGAAAAATATAGTCCTCTATAGTAAATTCTTACCTGCATTGTGTTCATCCATTGAAAAGGCTTTATTTTCCATGTAGCTCCGAGGAAGCTGTATATCTTCCTCAAAAGCAGTTTCACGCATCCTTGGCTGTGAAGTATCAAAATAATTGGGAGTGTTTTCCTGCTGTGATGGAAGGATGGTACAGTGGACCTCTGGGATGGCATGAAAAATAACAAACACCCAACCACTGGACACCAGTGCAATAGCAAGAGTAGGATCACTCCATTTGTCTCTTCTCTTTAGCTCAGCATTACCAAAGAGGTACATAGTCAGCCAGGCTACCCAAATCAGAATGGAAAAAAAAAGTGTTATAATGAGGCATACTCCATTTTTCTTCCATTTCTTGAACTTTCCACAGAGAGTGAAAAGAGAAAATCCCATGGTAAATACCATCAGGAACATAACATAAATCAAAGCCATAGCAAAATCCATTGGTTCATAGCTGCAGGCCAACTTGTTATCTCTGACAATTGTCAGTATTAACCACTCAGTTGCAATAATGACCTGAACGAGCATCAGGCAGACTGCCACACCAGCTAGATGCCAGCCAGATGGACTCTTCCCATGTCGAACTAGTCTACGAAGTCTCCAGGCTTGAGCTAGCAAGCACGAGAAGCACAAAGCAAAGATAACTCCCCATAGAAATCTTCGGGTAGAGCACACCATTTCATCTTCTTGTATGATGAAAGCAAACGTCAGCCCAAACAGCCCGAGAGTCCCAAAAAGAAAGAGGAAGTGCATTCCCAGGGGACTCTTCTTCTCTTTGTCCTTGATGAAGGGCAGCCTCACCAGCAGAATCAGCATCAGCAGTAACGTGGTCAGCACACCTGCCCCCGCAACTGCCTCCACAACTATGCCCCAAATGGCATCCAGGTCGCACAGGTAAACGTACTGAGGGAGAAGATCCAGTCCGCACCCTCTGGATGTACTTGAGTTTTCAGAAGAGCCATAGCTGATCACGAAGAGGAGGAAGAAACCAATGGCTGGGTAGGTTTTCATTTTTCTGTCTGAGACAACAAAATATTTGTTTGTTTAGCTACAGTTCACTTTGGAGGATTTCACAGCAATTAGAAGCACAGCTTGTTTCAATAGCCCATGTTTACTGTTTTTTTTCCACTGGATTTGCAGCTGGCATAGCCCACCCCTAGTCCCCTTTGCTGCCCTCCCAGAAAGCTGCTTTTGCCTGTTGTACTCAGAATGCAAACTGACTTATTTCTGTTTTCTCACAGATTGAAAACATTTCCAAACACTGCCCCTACAAATATCCTAAAACACAACAGAAAAAGTGATGTATCCTGTTGCAAAATAATACATTATCAACAGTACTTTATGGTTCAAATTCAGGTGCTTAAAGTACGTGTAAATTGCACTGGGTGCGATGCAAGTGTAAGTTATATCATAATTAGACTGCTTCACAGCCTTGCTCCTTTTACTGGAATAAAGGCAGAGTCAAAACCATTTTTTTTCGTTAAGGATAGAGCAGTCTCAGGAAAATAAACATTGTGCTTTTTTTAAAAAAAAAAAAAAAAAGAAAAAAAAGAAAAATCTTTTCATGCTTGGTCAATAGGCAGTTATAATATTCACTCCTTTCATTCTCTTCCAAAGCCCAGGTATTAGATTGCATTTGCAAATGGGAATGGTTGGCTAGAGAAATCCCATATTCTGTGACAATGGTGCATACATGCAGTGTCATCAATCAGCTAATCAAAAATGAATGACTCATTGTGCTTCTTCACAAGTCTAAAGCCATTCAAAGGAAACAACCAACAAAAAACAGAGCATCACTTTCCCTGATCCAGACTGAACAATAGTAAACTCTCTAGGAACACAACACGTCCCACTCGACCATCAGGACCGAAGGCCTGGATGAATCCCAACTTAAGTTTTAGGAAGAACACAGGTTAGGTGCTTTAAGGAGATACACATTACAGCACTTGCTTTTATTAAGCAAAGCAGGGCAAAGGAGATGATTGTTAAAAATGTAACCTTTAAATGAACAATCTGTCCCAGCGATAGCTGCCCTGTAAGGGCAGTCTCAAGTGAACAACTATGTGTACCAGATATGAAACTTGATGCTGTTAACCTTCACTTGCATGAAAATGTTCAGAGTAAGATTTCCATTTTCATGGTATGACCATATGGATGTAAAGCACCATATAGAGGCAATAATGTTAGTCACATACCTCACGTGACGTGTTAAAGATATAAAGCAAGAAGCAGAGAAACTCACGGTAGCTCTTTTGTAAGTTAGACAAACAGCCCTAAATGATTACCCTTCTAAAGATATTTCATAAGAAATGCATTTAATGAAAACATCAAAAAGTTTAATGAGAGTTGAAAATGGTTTAAAGTACTGGTGCAATATTGAACGTGATCAGTCATAGCCAATACAAAAACTATTTATGTAGACTGTCTGAAACAGTACAGAGTCTCTTAGCTGAGAACTGTGAGGTTGCTTCCTGTGCATTACAGTCCTATAATGACCAAAGTTAAATCTTGAGGATCTCAGTCTTCAAACTAATGTTCATTCCCCCTTCACTGCGTAATGACCAATGCTCATTTTCGACCTCTGCCAGGAGACAGATGATGGAAATTATGCTGTTTCCTATTAGAGGCACCAAGACAGCAAATGTGCTAATATAAATGCATAATGACTTCATGGTCTTCATTCATACAACAGACAAAAAAGGTTATTACAAAACTTCATCTCAGAAGTGGAAGCTGCGAAAAAGAATGTGATCTGGGTTTAGACAAATAGGAGAAGGGTAATCGATGATCTTTGCCTGCCCATAGAAATTATAGTATCCTTACACTGCTGAAACGGCTACAATGTTTTAATGATTCAGTGACCTGTTGCTAATTAATGATTTTTATTTATTTTTTTACCTAGCTGTAATTTACTTCATGGTGAATCAGTAGAATATTCACTTGTTTATATCTGATTTGTATAACAGGCTTCTCAATTACTCTGTCACAACACATTAAAAACACTGACTTTACAGACGGAAAACTAATCATCAATTAAATATGGTTTTTTGTATTGAATATGGTTACACTCAATTAATCTTCTTGCCCCATGAGTACATAATTAACTAGAAGGAAACTTTCTGAAGGTTATTTTGCAATTCCTTCTATGGACAGGTAGTTCCTACTTCAACTAGTACATTTACTTTTAGAATATCCAAAACGTCCTAAAAAGTGTGAAACAGTCAGTGTCTGCTGACACAGAGAGAGGAAATCCATTAGGATCTACTAAGGCAAAGCTGCAAACCACTGGTACCAATTTCAAGTAGCAGGACATCATATGGAAAATTGCTCAAAATTTATTCTAAACGCCACCCAAACTGGAAACAATAAACAGCCCTTAAGTGAGGATCATGTTAATTTTCCACTATCTTATTGCTTACAAGTTATGATATGCATGTACTAAATTGGTTTCAATACTAGCTTTATTAGCTACTCTCTAAAGACCTGGGGGGTAATGAATTAAGTGCAAGTATCTCCAGTTCTATGATATTTTCCAGTTTTCTGGTTACTTTATTCATGTCATGTAACCCTCATGTGATTGAGCTATTCTAGGACAGTCTGTTTCCATGGAGATTGTGCTGCATGGGTAAGCAGTCATATTGTCAGCCCATCATTTGTTTCCTCTTCCTATTTGGAAGTGTTTGGGAGGGGGGAAGGGAGGGTTAATGAATTTTGAGTATTTCCCCTTCCATGAAGAAGTAGCTTCTTTTGGGAAGGGTAAATTAAGCCATGATGAAATATATTGAGAATTCAGACAGAATATAGAATCAGAAATGCAGAGATGTTCAACTCAAGAAGAGTTTTCCCAAGTTACTTCCATTTGTGAAATTACTTTTGGGAGAGCTGATGGAGATGAACAGTGGTTCTCTTAGAAAGCTTCTAGACAGCTATAGTATTGACCAAAAATTCTCTAGGACTGCTGACAGGTATTCTTGGCAGATCATATTCCTACCGAATGTCAGGAAGTTTTGCTGAACAGTGGATCCTGTCTACACCAAAGCTTGCAGGCAGGGCTCAAAATCTTTGAATGAGAAATCTTTTTTTCACCACTGTATCAGTATAACCATGTTTGCCACCTGTTTACTATGTATTTCTGCCTGACTAGGTAAAAACTGGCAAAGTTAATAATCAATCCCCGGTGACAATACCAGCCAAAATCCTCTTTCTAGCACTGGTACTCAGCACTGAACTCAGACAGCTCTATAGACAAGGGAAAACATTGCATTACAACATACAAGTTTGGCAAGGGAATACCACTGCTTTAGCTGAAACCATAGATTTAATAAATTTAAGGGAAAACTATAAAGGTTTTTTGTCAGAAAAGTTGTTTTGGAAAAGAGAAGTATATCAATACGGGGTTTTTATTAAAACAGTGTCTTCCTCAAGACTGCAGAAGATGGCAGAGTCCTGTGTCTCTCAAGATTTTGTAGTAAAGTCTTCGTTCTGCACGTTAACACCAGTAGTTATCTAAATCAATAACTGTAGAGGAATAGTATTTTTACCTCTTTATGCCTAGATTAGCAATTAGTGAAGTTATGCAACCCCACAGTAGTAACAATAGCGCTGTATTTGACTGGCACTTCACTTTTATTACCAGAGAGGTACAGCAACAGTAATACAGAAATGTCACAGAAACATTCCAGCACAGTTATAGTAAGTGGCACCGATATATCCCCCGCACAGCTGAATGGAATTGTTCATACAAAAGGAAATCTGCTTGAGATTTCCCTCTCCCTGATTCCCCCTCCCAAATTATATTCATTAAAACTATTAAGCCAACATACCTGAACAAGCAATCACAATCACTTAAAATGAATCAAGAAGCCTTACACATCTCAGGCAAAAGCAGCAAACAGTCAGCAGGACAGCTTCCAAATGCAGTCTTCAGCTGTTGGTCCAAAAATCTGCTCTCAATGACAACAGTAATAACTCCACTGTTTTCAACAGAGCGAAGTCCCCTACGTTATCTGGTGTAGAATCACTACAGAAATGGCAGACACAAAGCTGCCCCAGCGGGTACAAAGTACAATAACAAGCAACTAAGCAGAAACAGCAAATCTCACAGTTGTCATCAAAAAGTTGTCACAGTTAAAAATCAATGAGGCTTTCAATAGCTAAAGTCTTCTGACCAAAGATTGCAAATATCTCCCAGCTGGTCAAAAAGATACTGCTGGATGCTGCTAGAGTATAAAGAATAACTCCGTAACCGTGCAAAGATTTAAGGTTAGCCTATTCATGGTTAGATGTATTATCTGTTCCCCTTTTTAGAGCCCTAATGTTCATCAACCGATACAGGAAGATGCATCCAATCACAGAGAAGAAAATCTAGTAAATAAAAGCAATAGTAACACAAATAGTAACCTGCTCTGCCACACATAGGCAGAAGACTGGTTCACTGTACAATTTCCAAAAGAAAACCGCCCCCACCACGAAGTGTTGTGGAGAGATGCTAGTGAGGAATTAATCACAGCATGGGATCTCTGCCAGCCCCTTTTGGTCAGATCTGAAGAATGAGCTTCAGGACTGATAACAGAGCAGCACCAGCCAAGCTGAGATCAGACTATCGAAGAGATGTATTTCCAGAATAATAATTAATAGTGCGATTGTGCTTTGTATGCAAAAACAGAGCAGTGATTTTAGACATCCCCTGCATTAGAATAATACACATCAATCCACGTACAGCTACACAGTTACAGAACCAAGACCCCACTCCAAAAAGGACACGTAAAAGTACTGTTTGCATTTAGAAATACTTTGCAATGCTGAATATTATATGAAATTATTTTTCTCATGTTCTAGGTGCTCATAATTCCCTCCGGTCAGATTCTGTATATCACCTGTACCTAGATACTTCTAATGCCTGATGTTCATTATACTACTGACAGCAATCAATGTTTTTCTTTTCTTTGCTAATTCTCAGATTATTTCTATTCATGTCACAGCCTCATGACAGATGGATTTCCTTCACCTGATTTCTTCCACTGCAGCGAGAGAACACCTCAGCACCGATACTCACAGCCGGTGAGTACAAGCGTTATCAGCCGCAAAGAGATAGTACTACAGCGAGGATCACCAACCTAGGCGGTTAGGTTCTGCACGCAGGAAATCCTGTTAGCCTCGGGATAAACATTAGGTCAGGTGTAAACAAAGGGTTCACATAAGTGCTAAATCCTATCGCTGTTCGGCTCCGAGGAGAGGTAACACAGAGACGGGGGGGC